GGATACGTGGAATTGACCTGAGGAAAGGAGAGGGGAGAAGAGAAAACGGATCTTGGGTACAAAGAAAGCGCAAACAAGGCCGTGAACATATCCATTAGGATAATGTTTGATGCCGTGGAAAGGACTAGTAACGCAAGTCATGTTACAGCTTCTCGTCTCGAAGACGCAAGTACGCGCCAACAAAATTTGTGTGGTGCTGGCGACTTCGTCAGCCACAAACATTGTTTGAGCGAGATCCATGAATATAAGAATTCAAGAAAAAAGACTATTTTCAGACTTTCGAAGCTATTCCATACGGCAAAAAAGCATTTCTTATAGTGGTTACGCTTTATTTTTTAGAGGAGATAACTTCGAAGATCCTAAGAATGCGTTTGTTCTTTAGTTTCTAGTTTGTAGTTTAAGGTTTTATAGTTGAACAACATATTTTTATTTTAGCATAACATTTTATTTACTTTATTTTATATTATATTCTTAATTTTTTTTATTTTATCTATAAACTATGCATATATTATTTATATGCATATATTATTATGCATATATAATGAAACTTTGCATATATTATTTTAAATGCTTAAAATACATGCGTGCAAAAATTTAGATTTTCATTATCATTTTTAAATTACTTTTTCCTCTACTGAAAATAGTAATAGTAACATTATATATTTTTATAATAGAAATTTAGAAAGCTCTCCAGTAGTAGAATGATGTAAAATGACATGTTAATATAATATTATCGTATCATTAATGTGTTATCATGTTTGAAGTCACATTTGTTGGGCTTATACTTTAAAGTAAAATAATTTTTCCTTCTTTTCCTTTCTTTTTGGATCTTTTTGATCCTGACTCTGAATCAAAGTTTGTAATCATTTTTAGATGCAACATCAATCTCTAATTATTTTTCAAAGTTTTTTCATTATTTTCAAGATATATGAGTAATATATATATATATATATAAAAGAATATTATACTTGAAAACTTTATAAACCAAATACTGACTTTGTTTGTAAATGTAAATTGTATTGGTTGCATAAAATTGCAAATGTTCTTACACAATAAGAGTACGTGCAAAAAATGAATTAAAGCATTACTCAATATGTGAGACGAAAACGACAATAAATTTCAAAATAGATATTTTGATCTGTCAGTTAATGTATATTTAAATTAATGATAAATATTTGTCTGATAAAAAGCTAAAGTTCTGCAGCTTATATACACCGAGCGTGTATTTATTTTTTGCTCAGGAGAATTTTAAAGAATATTTTGTATTTTTAGACCTTTACAAATTTAAAAACTCAAAAATATGTGAAAAGTTTGCTGAAAGATTTCTATATATGCGTGATTAGGTTTTTACACAGCGCTTATTTATATAAGATTTATGTAAAATATATATAAGATTTATATGAATATAAATTTACTTAGAATATATTTATATAAGATTTATATGTACAAGCAATATGAAAAGCGTAGTGTCATTATGTTTATCATGACGTTTTGACGATCACCTCTATGTTATTGACATTCTCGAAGTTCTCTACTCACTTTGATACTTTAAGAGAATGCTGAAGTCGATGGCAAACTCGAAAAAAGTTAATAATGTAGAGACAATCGTTATCTAACACAATCACACTATCCTTTTTGTATTTCTTGTACATACAGAACTTACGTATATTGCTTTATTTTACTATATTTAACGGAAAACTTAACCATTCATGTGTAGAAATCTTTCTGTAAACTTTTCCGATATTCTTAAACTTCTGAATTCAGATGCGAAGGTACAGTAATGTTCTTCAACATTTTTCCGTTTGGAGCATTTACATTTTTGGTATGTACAAGCTGCGGAATTTTTGGATTAGACAAATATTACGTTGATAGTTTAAGATTTTACATTAAACATTTTTTTTTGTTTTTGCCACATATTGAGTAATGCTCTTATTTATTTTTGCACGTATATTGCGTAAAAGCATTTGTTTTTCTATACAACTGATACAACTAAACGATGTAAACTTTGTAGAAAAATGTCAGTATCCTGTTTAAAGTTTTTCAGCTTTAGCAATTCCCTTAAGCAATCTTTACATTTCGAACGCAAACTAGTTTCTTTTAAAATCAATGGATTCCAAGATCAAGTAAAATTGGATAATTAAATAAAGTCTTGTTCAAGTAACTCCGGCTAATTACTGCTAACGCCCCGAGCTTGCACCACTTCTTTAGCGAGTGATCTTTGGCCGCCTAAGTGTGTGCGGGAGTTCAAATGTGAGGATCTTCGAAAAAAGTTGCGTAATGGCTAATTCGACTTTTACAGCGTACCGGAAAAAACTCCAGGATGAAGATAACATTAGTGACGTGAGGCAACAATGAGATTTTAAAAGGTGTTGTAAATATGAAGCATCCTCGTACGGAAGCTAGACCGATTTCGACGCGTATCTAAATTTACGACCCCGCTTAAACAAAAAGCAATTATTGTTGTGACTCTTAACGGTTAAAGAATTGATCTATATTTGCCAAATTTCTATTGCTACTAACATGCCACAGCTACTTCAGGAACAGCAATCCAAACCATCCATAATTCCTTAAGCCTGATCTACAATATGCTCTTTGCGTTCTGTTTCTTGTCTTCTATCTTTTTCTGGCTTAAAGCTTAAGGTTTGAGTCAGAAAGAGATAAAGAGAAGCAGGAAACAAAGAGCATTGTAGATTAGGCTTTAGACTGGTCGGAAAGCTTGTTCGCTTTCTTCGCATCGGCATGGCCGTGTGGAAAAAAACTAAGTGAATTTTCTGATCAGTCGATAATAGTTATGCAATACAATGTAATAATTATGCGAACATGCAAAGTAATTAAAAGCTTCGTAATTAAAACATCAAGAAACTAATAGTCAGATATTATATCGATACTACGACATTAATACGCAACACAGTTAGCAACATACACGGAGAAATTTATAGTTATTTTTTTTATGTAAATTCTTTTCAATTTTACTATGATTTTAGTAGTGCAGAAATAGACTAAGAATCTATATTGCTAAGAAACATAGTAAGTTCTCCTAAGAACATGCATGGGAAAAAATAATTTGCTGGTACAGTAGATTTTATGCTGTCGTAGTAAAATCTGTCAGTTATTATATGGACAGCAAAAAGATTTATTAAGAGTATTAATTGCTATTTACTGGATATAATACTATTAAATCTATAAATTTTTTGCTGTAAGAACAAATTAACTTTTGTTTAGTCATCAAGGCATTATTGTATGAACAAAACGAATTTGCTATTATAGCGAAATATATATGCTAAATTAACAACATAATTCGGCTATTCCAACGAAGTAACTTTGTTATATAAATGTTAACCTAATCTCAATCTATAATCTATAATCTATAATGAGAATACAAATGGTTATACACGTCAAATCGTTAAGAGAATAATACGTGAACGTATATAACATCTCCATTTTCTCCAATCTTATTAACAATTTTATTACAAAATAACAATATCGCTTACAAAAGCACGCAACGTCTTTTATAAGCGTTTGTACATTTGTCGTTAAACGATGTCGATAAACGATGTCAATAAACGATGAACATTAAAATTCGCGGATGCCATAGAGGAACCCATTTTAATATTGCAATATATGGACAGAATCAATGAATTTCTTCCTGTTAGTAATAAAAACGAAAGAATGTGATGACTTGATTGATGTTCATTCGCTTTAGTGATTATTTCAGTAATGAACCACACACGCTTGTGGATGCAACGTATACTAATAGATTGCAAAATAGTTTAAACATAATTAAGTTAGGAGCTCACCAAACTGTCAAAATTGAGAATTATTACTAATGGGGGTTTATCCAGCAATTATCTTATTAAGTATTATTATTATTAAATTATCCATCATAAAGTGTCAAGGGGATGAAATCAGGGAGAGAGGATGATGTATTCAGATTTTATGATAGCCTATATTTTCTGTAGAATCCTAGAGAGTAACTATACAAAATTTGGTCTAGAGCAATTAAAAGGGTTTAGAAGTTTATAGGAAACATATAGACAAACAGACTAGATTTTATATTTTACATATACAGTGTTTGCCAACGAAAACTTTCTATCCCAATTATTCTTTAATTCAATTGATTTTTGTAAAAAATGCCGATATACATCAATATTGTTTTCAAGGGACTATATAATTTGAAAATTATTGTAATGCTAACTACAACGTACACTTTGCTTTTTTGCCGTCGCTAATATGCAATAGCGACGACAATTTAGCTATAATAACAAAATTATTTTTCTTTAATTATAGTAGATTTTTAATAGCATATTTCAATTTCTAAAATATAAATAATACATATGAAATGAAAATATAATAAATTTCGGCAGAATATTGACTTATTCCTTGGTTATAAAATTCTGTGGTAATTTTTACTATAATTCTCTGCATGCAGACATACTTTGCGAAGATTATCTCATAAAATTTCCCGCATATAAATCGGTATTGTGTATCGAGTGAGAAAGACATAAAGAGAGGCAAAAAACGATTAAAAGAATTATTTACATGCTCTAAAATTTCCTACTTTTCGTTATCGTCAATAATTTTTGATATATTTTTATAACCACATGTTAAGTCAGTTCAACGATAAACTTCTTGCAAATATCTCTATTTCTATTTCCCAAATAAAAAATGCATGCACAATCAAATCGTGCGAATGGCGTAACTACTTTATGAAGTGACGCTTAAAAGCGCGACGTTAAAAAGAAATTAAAATAAAGAAAAGGGAGAAATTGACCTTTTTAATACAAAATTAAATATGTATTTGTATTTTTTGCGATGAAATACGCGTTTATGCAAGTTAAGATATACGAATTTCTACTTTCTTTATTCTCACAAATAAAGGAGAAAAGGATGAACTGAAAGAAATGTCGTTTTCCGATAATTATGCTGTCAGTAAAAGCCAAAAACTTATAGTTACGCCACCGCATTGTGTACAACCATCCATTATACTGTATAAATCCTACCGAGGAGGGCAAGACGACTGCAGAGGTCATTAATCGTCGAAACAGCACCCGCGTTAGAGGCAGCGGCATCATTGCCCGCTGCAACAATAGAAATAACAACATCTATCGGGATACTTTCATCGTCCCAAGTTATTTTTCGACTTCAGACGCCTCACGTAACGACTTACAGCAGAATATACGTGAATTTGCAACGACTGCTACAATCCATTTAGGTTCAGTAACGCGACGAAAGCCCCGTGTTGTAAATTCTAACTGTCAAATGTACCCGAGCTGGGTGGAAAAACATTTTAAGCGAAGGCAATGACCAAATTTTCGCTCACCCTTTATCTTTTGCTTGATACTGATTAAACATGCTTCGTGATATGAGGTACAATACATACTACCAGGGCCGTAGCAAAGACTAACAATCTTTCAGTCCGTTTAAAGATAAAAACACATGGATTTGAAACGAAAAACGAATTAATTGAAAAGCATCGGCAATCGCGAGTTACTGTGGATTTCATGAAATGCAAGACAATCAATTAAATTCCTCGATTAGAACGCGAAAGACTTTTCTTCTCAAAGGGACGTTACTTTGAGCTGGCTGCAGCCCTGGTCCTCTACACTGACTTCCTCAAGAAATCCCAACTCTTTCTCCATCGTTTCCTTGCTGCGTGTTGATTCAGGATGTCGTGCGAACGGATGGGACTCTCTTTCGGATACGGTGGAAAATTGAGGTTGATGGCAAGAGGTTGGGGATTATCTCACAAATATTTGGGAGCAATTAGATGTTTGCGCGTCTGTTACCGTGTTTATATGGTTTGCCGTATCTAGAACGACGAGACGTGTTTATAACTGCGTGCGATACGAACGAAGAAGTTCTCCTCGTTCTCATTAGACGCGTATTCCATTGTGCCATAACTTTCGAATTGTATGATTTCCTTGCCGGCCTCTTGAAACTGAGATAATTTTTCACATCTTCACATCGGTGAACGCGAAGATGTTTCAAACAAGTAAGTCGATTTATATAGACGTTTGCTTTATGCGGCTGTGATATAATTTTATACAAATATTGTACTCTAACGATCTATATGTATTATGATATGTCCACGGAAGCATATTCGTTTCAAGTAACTGAATTTCTGTTGTTTGAAAACCAGATGATACTCTGCCGTAAAAACAGACAGATTTTTGTAGGAAGTTTCAGTCAATTGTTCTCGGTAATTTCAACCGAATTTTAAAGCTTGAATCACCAGTTGACACTTGAAACTTTTCTCGTGTGAGATATCCAGATTTTTATTCAGTATTAGGATTCAAACTAGTTAAATTATGACACGTGTAACATTTATATTGATAAGCACGATTCAATGGAAAAACTCTCATCTAATTCTGAATTCAAATCTGAGAATCTCAGACTATTAATACGAACCTAATACAACCGAATGTTAAAACGCGTGCGTGCGCACAAATGTTTTTGATCGCTGTAAAAATGAGATCGTTTCACGTCATCGAGTTTTCTCATCTGATTTCCATAGAAGAGAGATTAATTCATGCGGACCGAGTTCTTTTTTCAACGTATACTTTGCTCTAATTTTTCCATTATGATTCAAATCGCGCAATTATAATCCGCAATAATTTCCACGTAAATTGCGTTATGCTACACCTAGCCAAATGCGAGATAAGATAAAAACAAAGTGGGACCAAGCAGAGCGACGAGTGGAGGCGTGAAACGATTCCGACGGCGCGCTGTTCGTCGGCGGGAAGACATTAAGTTGATTTAATGAATCAATGTGAATTTACAAAATAGAAGCCAGCCGTTTCTTTCGACATAACGCATATTACTTCTACTTATAGTTTCCATACAGACTATACATTTTACATTTATCATAATAATTACGTTATTGAATAAGAATTTAAATCGATTGTTTGCTGTGATCGATTGTTTGAAGTGATGTTAATGTTATTTGAATTTTTATATTTTTGCGTTTGCATCTTATTATTGCCATTATATCTTAGTATTATCATTACATGTCCTCTAAGAAGAATAAGAAGTTTCAACGAATATATCCTAATTATTTCATTCATTGTTTTGATAATATCGATAAGTTGAAGTACCCGAGTAGAAATGTAATTAGCCGAATTGAAACTTTGTAGCTATGTAGAGAGAATATTATAGTTTTTTTTCATATAAATCCTTTTTAGATTTACTATAGCTAAGTTTATCTTGCACACTTTCGTACTGAAAGTATCATTCCATCTTTATCATTTATTACATGTTGAAGGAAGATAGAATGATACTTTCAGCACGAAAACGTGCAAGACGAACTTAGCCTATATATTTATACATATACATTATACATAAGACAGGAATAAACTATCAATAACTGTTTATTTGCAAACAAACCTAATAAATTTTACTAGAAACATAGCAAATTTTTTTAGATAGCATATTTCAGTTCCTAAAATATAAATAGCACATATAAAATGAAATGAAATAATAATTCATAATAATTACTGCATTGAAAAAAGGTTTAATAGTAATTATTAAGCCTAGATAATAATTATTTTGGTAAAATAGTCTCAATTAAACATGTAAGTGAATATAATTAAATAATTTGATAAATATTCACAAATAATCTTAGTAAAGATTAGTATCTATTGTTGCTAAAAAATAAAAAAACAAAACAATAAGGCTCTAAGATTTTCGAATCACGAAACTAAATTAATAAGGTTAGTAAGAGCCAATACACCGACTAGACGCTAGCGAGATTCAATTTCTATTCGGGTACTCAAAAGCAACCACAATAATAACTGCGCGCCAACTATATTATATATGTATATTTCTTTTTTTCGGTTTTGACTTGACATAAAGATCGTACGTGAAAGGAAGACATGAACATTTATTTTTCTTGCGCTTTTATGACATTGCGTATTCATGGAATTGTTAAACCAAAACAATAAGACGGAAGAAAACGTGAGTAGCTACGAAGAGACGAGGATGAGGATTATGGACGATGTTCAATGTTTAACGGTAAACATAATTCTTTTTTTGTAAAGAGAGTCTTCTATTTTACGCAAGAAGATAATTCGGAAACGTATAACATAGATTTGAAGCTTAGGTTAGTATTAATAGTTATTAGTTGAAAAACTCGTCTCAAATGAGATACTTCGTTTTAAGTTCAGAGTTAAAAGAAGAATTGTTTGATTGAATCGCGATTATAGAAAAAATATCACATATATTATAATTTAACTAACAGTTAAAATTTCTAAATAAAAATTTTGAAACTTGTCTTGTGTCAGATATTTATATTTAAGTTTAGAATTAGATGTGAGTTCAGAATTCAGTAGAATCGCAATGACAAAAGTAATGTTATGTTATGTATGTTATGTTATGTATGTTATGTTATGTATGTTATGTTATGTATGTGATTTAACTGAAAAACTCAGATCTAACTTTAAGTACAAATCTGTATATCTCACGAGAAACAAGCTTCAAACAAGCTTCACGACTATTTATACGAATCTAAGTTTTATTCATGCTTGATTTTTATTGGCAACGTTAGTCGTCTGCCAAAGTGAAGTATTTTTTAAATAATTCGAGATTTTTTAATAATTAAACTTAAATAATTCGAAAGTCGTTCTTTCAACGAGCGAGACGAAAGCCCGCCAGTTTTCGACGACACACAGCAATGCGAAAATTCTCGTGTAACGCGCTAAATTGCATTTGACCGTTTTCTATAGATATATTCTCGCTTACACAGAATCGAGCTAGGACATGCAGTAAATAGAGAAAATCGCTCACCCGGTTTTGGCTGGTTCTGATACGAAGGTCTCCTCATCCATCCAAACGGGCTCCTGCTCGGGCCTCGCGCATTCGCCGAGTACACGTCGCGGGACTGCTGGTTCATATTGTTAGACGCGTACTGTAGATTCGTGTTATGTGACGACGACGTGGACGGTGTGCTGAGATCACGGGACGTAGATGAGGATGCAGTCGCAGATGCGGATGTTGGATTATGGAAATCGCGATTTGTGACGGTGGACGGTATGTTTGAATCGTTGGCCGCACCGATGGACCCTGACGGTACGTTGAGATGCGACCCGATGGTGGACGGTACGGTGAGATCTTGCGATGTGGTCGGCGAACTGATACCAGCCGTGAAGGAAAGATTGTTCGCCGTATGGGGAGTCTGGTTGAATCCATTACCGCCACTATTGTGGCTGTATGGGGTGGACGGGGTGCTAGGGTGACTGATTTCACTGCTGCTGCCGGTTACTTGTCGGGAATTTGGCCCGCCGTTGGCGTTTGTAGCAGCATTGTTGGCCCACTCCGTCGCCTGCAGTTGTTGCATTTGCGCCTGGTGTTGTGATTGCGGGTACTGTTGAAATTGCGAATAGGGCTGCGGAGGAGGGGGGTATGGAAGATGCGTGTAATGATGGTGCGTCCACGCGAATATCTCGGTGTGGTCGACGTACTGATGCGAGCCAGGCGTTGGAGGTTGCTGATGGTTCATGTGCAATGCCCCATGAGGATAGCCGTGCCAGTGCGACGCGTCGATGCTCGCTGCGATCGCTTGCTGATGTATTTGTGGGAATTGCTGATGCTGAGTCAACGACTGCGACGTTAGCGGCTGCGACGGTGCGTGCTGCGTCTGGGGATGTACGTTTCGTTGCGGCTGATAGTACGTAGCACCCAGCGAGTTGAAGTATGCGCTAATATTTACATTGGTACTCGATTCTGACATGCTGCTAGCGGCTCGTTATCCCTGATGTAACACGACAGGGTTCACTTTCTGCACCGGAACAGATAAGCGTGGAGAATCCTCCACGCAAACTTGGCCGCCACTTTAGAAAATCACGTATTGGAACATTATCGAAATCGTCGAGCCGTGCTTATTCGCAAAAATAGAAATTCAGAACTTCGCGAACGGGGTGACACGAGAGGCGTATTGGGCGAGCCGACGGAACGGGACGTGGCAGCAATAGAACGGCTCTATGCTGACTGCCGAAAGAATTCGCAATGTGAAGACTGTCAGCTGCCCCGACCTTGTGAAGAGCCCCTACATCAGGTATTTAACGGCTGCGCACCGTCCGCCCACGACTGGTCTGGAATCCCCACCAAATATTTCTGCTCGACCAATCACAGCCGTCTACCTGAGTTATTCAGCGTAATGGCGTTCGACGAGAATGTTCCTACCCTCGAAGATATCATCCGTTAACAGAAAGAGAAGCGAGAAGGCGGCCCCCGCGGCCCCACCATCTCGATGAGCCGCACGGAGTTTACACCTTCGACAGAGCAGCTTCTTAGTTATTAATAAGAATTAATACTCTCACTTGTTTTTGTTAGATTTTGTTGAGTTTTTGTTCATTCGTTCAATCTGAATCTGCGTTCTAGATTGTGTCTCTAATGTGACGCCGTGTGTAGAAGTTGCTTTGTGAGCAGAATAATAGTGAATCAAATAATAGTCTGGTGAATTTGCTGTGTATGAGATAAGAAGGTAAAAATCTCTTTGTTTGATCGGGCCAGCTCCTGCTAGCTCAGCAATATGATAGCACTGACTACACTGACTTTAAGCACACAAAGCGCTAAAATCAAATAAAACAAATTTCATTTTTTCAGTACGTTGATAATTTTAAGTCAAGTATGCGTTGAATGCAAATTTTACATTTTTCTATAAACTAGCACGTCTGCTTATGTTGACATGCATGCTAAATAATCTAATTATCAAAGGTATCATGCTTTTATCTTCGCACTTCGGCGATAGTTCATAGAAGGTCATTTGAATAAAACTAATAAATAGTAACGGCAAATCTCGAACTAAATTATTGAATGCACAGTTCTGTTCTGCATTGAGAAAAGTGTTTGGTATTTATAATTATAATCGCATAGCGAAAGATTTATAGTCAAGAGAATTTATAGTTATTTATAATTATAATCATTTGCAATAATTTTTGTAAGTGTTATTATAGTGTTAGTTAATATAATTATAGTGTTAGTTATAATAACTGTATAATAACTTTATTATAACTTTAAGTTATTAAATAAGTTATATAATAACGTTAGTTATAATAACTTTATATTTATGTTGCTACTACTATTTTTTTGTTAAATTTTGTTAGACAAGAAAATATTTGGAACCGAAAATAACTATAAGTTTAGTAACATTAATGTTTTTTCTCAATGTGTAATCAATTATTTTTACTCGGCTTTAAATGTTGTTTTATTAAGTTTAAGATAACCAATGATGGAATTTGAAAAACAAAAATGCTCGTTGATTATAAGAAAAATAATTGACTGTGACTGGTCAATTTCTTACGGCTTAGAGTTTAAAGCTTAAATTTTATGGCTTAAGTTCTCATTGTAGACCACGTTTTAGAGGCTTTCTACAATAAACAATAAGTTTTAAGTTGTAATAAAATTGACCAATTACAGTGGATTATCCTTCTAATAGTCAACTATGATTGGTCAATTTTATTATGACTTAAGATTTATTGCTTATTGTAGAATGGGCTTTACGGAAAGCAGCACATTAATTGTTTATCGTGTGCAAACTTTCGTCGCGTGGCAAGCGTTGTCGCGTTCTGTGTACAGAAGCCACTATAGTAAAAAAATAACGATACAAGTAACGATGAATTTCGTTACTCGTTACTAAAGAAAATGTAACGAAATAGTAACGTCGTTACAAGTAACGCGTTACTTCCCAACCCTGGAAAATGGCTCAAAGTTGCTCAGCATATACCTACAAGGATTATGCATAGCGTTACGCAGATAAAACGTTAGTTTAATAATGTAAGAGATTTTATTGTATTTGATTTTATGTATTGTAAGAGATTTTATTTTAGACATTAAAATTGTTGGAAAGAAAAATGGTCCTCTGTGTCCCGTGCTTGGGGCACAGAGGACCATATATGATTTTTTATATATGTATGATAATATTTCGCATAGCATATCATACATATAAGTAGAAACAGAGTAATAAAAATAAGTTTATTATTTCCAGATAACACACATATATATATATATATATATATATATATATATATATGTATGTATGTATCGTGTGTGTGAAAGCAACATATGAAGTGGAAAAAACAATATTTTATTGGCATTTCTTCCTTCACTTTTAATTAATAGCTACATAATAAGAACAA